TCTTCGGTGGTCTGGGCTGGAATAGGAGGAATGGGCTTCCTCCTTTCTAGAATTCTCCTGTTCTCATTGTCCCGCCTCTACTTCCTGTCTGGTTGACCCGCCTATGCTTCCTGCCCGGTCAATCAGTGTTTATTTAAAACGTGATTGACAGAATACAGACAATTCTCCCACACCAGAACGTTTTAAAAATAATTTTTCTTTTTTTTTTGTTTTGTTTTGTTTTTTGTTTTTGATTTTTTGATTTCTCTGTGTTACAGCTCTGGCTGTTCTGGAATTCACTCTGTAGACCAGGCTGTGCTTGAACTCACAGAGATCCTCCTGCCTCTGCTTCTTGAGTGCTGGGATTAAAAGCATGAGCCACCATGCCCGGCTAAAATAACTTTTTTATTGTGTATGTATATGTGTGAATATGCACGTGTATGAGTGTGTGTGCACATGTATGAGTGTACGTGTCTGCATATGTATGAGTGTGCATGTGTTACAGTGCACATATAGTGATCAGAAGACCCATGAGACTCAGTTCTGTCCTTTCACCACGTGGTTGTGGAGACCAGACTCAGATTGTCAGGCACTGAGGCCAGCACCAAGAGACGACTTCAGTATATGACTGCCTATCACATTTTTGCAGGCCAAAAATTCATGCTGTGTGTGGAATTGTGTGTGAGTGCAGAGAGGTGGGTGGAACAATAGCTCAGTCTATAAAGCACTTGCCACTGGGGCACAAGGATCTGAGTCCACATACTAAAGCTGGACATGGTGTTGGCATCTGTAACCCCAGTGCTGGGAGGGTGGATCCCCTGAGCTGGGTCTCAGCAGATAAGGTGGGCAGTGGTAGAGGAAGACACCTGACTTCACCCTCCAGCACCTGTTCACACTGGATCATCTCTGGCCCTGTGCTTCACTTTGCTTTGCTTTTGCTGTGTCCTGTGGCAGGATCTTGCTGTGTAGCTAGATTGGCCTCAAACTCACATCTTCCCGCCTTCCCCGCCAAGAACTGGAGAGCTTTTTAGGGCTAGCGGTGCCACATCCAGCTGCTGTTAGAATGGTGTTACCCGGGTGTCAAGTTTTTACCTTCCCTGGTAGTTCTCACTTGCAGCCACTGAGAGGAGTCAGAGCAGGATTCAGGACAGGAACCTGGGGGCAGGAAGTGATGCAGAGTCCAGAAACACTGATTGCTTTCCATGGCTTTCTTACCCAGAACCATCAGCCCAGAGTGGCGCCACCATAGTGGGCAAGGTTCTCCCATATTCAAGAAAATGCTTCAGAAGTTTGCCCAAAGACCAGTCTGGTGGAGACATTTCTCAGTTGAGGTCGTCTCTCTCAAAATGTTTCAGGCTCATATCAAGCTTACATAAAGCTAGCCAGTACAGTTTGATGTTGTTTTATTTTTTAATAGAGAACAGATAGCTTTGTCCAGAGTAAGGGATGCATGAAAGAAGCAGTGAGTAGTCCCCTGCCCACAGGAAGTCCGCATCTGGGTCTCTTCCCAGAGCATTTGTGCAAGAGGCCTGCAGGACCTGGATCATGTTCACTATTAGAGTTCATACTGGTTGTGCGTTTTCTTTCTCCACCTGAAGGGTCACCAAGGACTGCACAGTTTTAACTGTGCCAGTCCTTTTATGATTGTCCTTCCTTCCCCTCCTCACCGTTCACCCATCCTCCCCTCTCTCTACCTCCTCTCTCTCTCTGTGTCTCACTACTTAACTCAGGCTGGCCTTGACCTTGATGACCCTCCTCCTTCCACTCCTTCTCTGCTGTTCTTCCATTGCTCTCTGAGTTTGTTTTTCAGCTTCTCGAGAATTCTTTTCTAATAAACTCTTTTTCCTAAGCACTGCTTTAGCAACAATGCCTAGTAGTTTTTAACCTTTTGTCAGAAGTTTAGACAGATAAAAGAACAAATGGAGCTCTATACACCCACCGCCATCTTCAGAAATGGGCCATATCTGGCCAGCCTCACTAAACTTCTTTGTCCACCTCCTGATTATTGCCCTTTTTTTTAGTAAATTATATCTGGTTTGTGGCCTGGTATCCTTCAGCATTTAAGTAATTCCATTTAAAAATCAGTAATTCTGTTTCTAGTAGTACATTCTATAGAATCAACTCTTAATGTGCTTGGGGCTAGTTATACGCAGAATAACCCAATGGTAGTGTGCCCACTGATAGGAGAGGAGCTGAGGGTGCAGCCCAGCTGGGCTAGTGCTGCCTCCCATGTGGACGACAGAGCAGTGGGCTGTCCCCAGCACCACATCAACTCAGGTGTGATGCACACCTATAACACCAGCACTCAGGGTGAAAGCAGGAGGATTGGGAGTCGCCCTTATACCGTGTGTTCCAGGCCTGTGTGGGGTACATGAAACCCTATCACAGAAAGAACTGATGACATTTTCATTGACTTTTTTCCCCCTACCTTTCCTTTCTAAAGGGATGTCCCTCCACCTTTTGTTCAGGCAAAATTTTATAAGCTGAAAGCTGCCTGTGTTCCTTTTTGGCAGAAAAAGACTTTTCCAGGTCAGTATTACAAATCCTTGTCTAGTTAAGAGTATTGTGTTGTCCGGTTGTGGTGATCCCAGCAATAGGAAAGCAGAGGCAGGGGAGTCTCTGTGAGGTAGAGGCCAGCCTCTGCTGCACAGCAGGGTTACTAGTCTACATGGAACCCTGTCTCAAAAAAAAAAGTAGGTTCCTGAGCTCCTCCCCTTGACTTCGGGCTGAGTCCAGGAGCTCTGATAAGATGGAGGGCAGTTTGCTCTGCTCTGCTACCTCCTAACAGTGCTGTGCCTGAAGCCACAGGGCAGGGCCGCTGTCCTGAAGGGTGTTCTAAAGCCCTGCAGCAGCTTTCTTAAGGCCATCAGGTCTCGGTTCCTGATTGGAAAGATGGGTTAGAGGGAGTAGGCGTTGTCTCAGTGAGCACTGACTATGCAGCCATTTGCACCTGGATTATGGTTGCCAGCAAGCACATGGGAAGCTGGGCAGTACACCCCTGTAATCCCAGTTCTGGAGACACAGAGGCAAGAAGATCCCCAGAGCTCCTTGGCCAGCCACTCTAGCCAAACCTATAAAATTACAGAGCTCCAAGTTCACTGAGAGCCTGCCTCAAGACATGAGGTGGAAAGCAATCAAGGAAGCTCTTCACATCGACCTCTGACGTCCACGTATGTGCACTTATGTGTATATATATACACATATACTCAGAGACTTGTGCACCTGTATACATACACTAGAGAGAGTGCCCTGTGCCAAACAGAAAAATAAGATAGAATAATGCCTGCCTCATAGGATTTTCTCAGAGATTGCCTAAGAGACTGTGTGCCCCAGTTAAGGTGGATCTTACATGTGGTAATGAGTGCAGGGCATTGTTAAGGTCCTGTGTCCTTTGACCTTAACTAGAGACTTGTACAAATAATTCCAAAATGACCTTTTCTGCAGAGATCATTGACTACTTATATGAGACCAGTCTGCCTTTGCTGAAGGAAAAGTTAGAAAAGAAGAAGGAGAAAAACAGTAGCCAGATCCAGATGCCCTCAGCTCCCAAACAAGACTTCCTGTTCAAAGACATCTTCTATTGCGATGATGACAGCGACGGAGAGGGCTCAGAGGAGCCCAGGTAAGTGCAGCTCTTGCCCTGGTCTTTTAGTCTGGTTATGTGTGTGCCCATGTGCCGGCCAGCTCTTTGCTGTAGCTGAGCACCTGAGTTGCTTGCCTCAGAAAGAGAAGCGTTCACTTTGGCTTTCTCTTTAGAGGTTCCAGTCCATGCCCCGTTGATGCTGTTACTCTGGGCCTGTGACGGCAATGCAGTGTGGCTAAAACATGTGAGAGTAAAGTCAATTACCTCATAGCCAGGAAGCAAAAGAGAACAAAGGGAATCCCACAATCCCTTTCAAGGCTCAACCCGATGTCATAAAGAACTCCCAGGAGGAAACACTGTCTACCATTGACACTGCCCTAGGAACCTTGCCTTTAATATGTAAGCCTTGGGGATGGCGGAGAGAGTTCCCAGATCTGACCAGGCAAGAAGATCTTGTCTGTTAAAAATGGTATGACTTGGGCATAGTGGCATGTGCGTACCATTAATCCCAACAGTTAGGAGGCAGAGACAGATGGATCTCTGAGTTTGAGGCAAACCTGGCCTGCAGAGTGAGTTCCAGGACAGCTAGGGCTACCCAGAGAAACCCTGTCTGGGGGGCATGGGAAATGGTATGATGAATGGTTGAACATTAAAACATTGTGACGGACGGATGAGCATTAAAACACATCGGGGAGGGGCTGGAGAGTACTGGCTGCTCTTCTAGAGGGCCAGTGTTCTATTCCCAACACCCACATGGCAGCTCACAGCTGTCTGTACCTCCTGTTCCACGGGATCCAGCACCCTTACACGGACATACACACAAGCAAAAGACCAATGTACATTAAAAAATAAATAAATAAATTGTTAAAAAAAATCACTGAGGAGAAGACTTAGCCAATGGAGTGCTTACTCAAAAGTTCACAAGTATGAGATCCTGTGTTGGATCCCCAGCTCTCAGGTTGAAAAGTTGAATCAGGCATGGTGGCATGTGCCAGTCACCTACACTTGGGCTGTAGGAACAGGAGGATCTTGAGGGCTAGCTGGCCAGTTTAGTCTAATCAGCAAGTCACAGGGCCCAGTAAAAGAGCATACCTGAAGAAATGAGGTGGACAGCACAGCTCCTGAGGAACACCAGAGACTGCCTCTACCCTCCACATACACATACATGTGTGTGCACCCAGCACCCATGCACACCTGCATATCTTTAAAAGTATTAGTATTCACCTTAAAGTCTGTGTGTATTGGGTGCACAGAGGTCCTGTACTCACAGACAAGCACCAAGAGAACCAGGAATATTAATCACGCAGGGATGTCTTCTCCATGGAGGAGATAAAATCAGATACCCACATCCCATCCGGAAAACCAAGAGTGGATTCTATTAACGACCTGGTGACCTTTTTACTATCTGTGGAAACAGACTTCGCCCATCTTTTGCTATAGGTGTAGGCCTCACCCTAATTCCCCAGGGTGATTATCCCAGACTTTTCCCTCCCTAGACCCTTACCCATCCTTAGGGGAGATGTCACATGTACTGTATGTCCTGGTGACCTGTATATTTGTCAGAGACACACTTGATTCTAGGTCTTTTAGCTATAGAGCCCACCCTTATGGTCACACATACTATGTAAAAGAATCTCTTTGTAGTCGCATGTTCACCTGGAATTGGACTGATTGACTGACTGATGCCTGGAAACCTTTTCCCAACTGTACTGTGTTTTAAGTATACTGATGATAAACCACCTGGCTTTAGACTCCCCAAAGTCTGATCCAGGTTGATGAAGTCAGTCTGCACGAGGTTTCACTTCCCTGTGTGGCACCTGCGGGGACCCCTTCATGTGTGACTGTGAGAAGCGTGAGCTGATTGAATACCTCTGAACCATTTCATTGACACGGTTACACCGCTGGTCCCATTGAACCAAAGCAACCCTGGCCCTGCAGTAGTTGGAGAGAATAGTATGCACAGAAGGATGAGAAAGCTGCCCTTTCCTGACGGGTGACACTCTGCTCTTTTCCAGTGCCCCTGGTGTGCAGTGACTGTGGCCCTCCTCTTCCTCAGGCTGGTCTCGGTTCCCTTGGACCTCTTCCTGTGCATCTCCTCTTCTGGGTGGACTGCTGGTGACCATAGCTGCTGGCACGCTTGCGTTCCTTGTGGAAGCTCAGCTGTTAGTCTTGGAAGAGTTTGTCCAGCTGATGCACAGCTCCCATGGAGTCTCAGTACAGGGTGAAAGGAGGCTCCTCTATCAGTCAGGAAAGCGAAACCACCATGGGTGTTCCAGAGAGAGAACTTTCTACAGGGGTTTAGGTAACAAAAGGTGTTCTATGAGATCACACTGCACAGGCAGGGGGGGGGGGGTCACAAGATTGAGGCCAGCCTGGGCTACATAATGAGACCTTGTCTCAAGCATACACACACATAGATTGTTCAATGGGATGCTGGAGCCAACAGGAGAAGTGCATTGCCCAGAGAGCAGCAGCACTGCAGAGAAGCTGTGTAGTCCTGCAGACACCCCAGTTTTCCCATGTTCCAACCAGCTGCCTCCATACCCCAGGCTGTCCACTGCCGCTGGCCTGTATCTCTCCATCAGCACATGCCTCTTTAGAGACATGTGTCAATGTGTGATCTTGGCAGAAATCTGCTGCAAGGGAGTCTGGGACACCAAGTGTTCAGACTTGTATCCCATCTGTGCTGGGGAGCACAGAGAAAGGAAAGTGTGGCAAATTGTACCATATGCTCTGTTCCCATTGGTGCCCCTCCGCACTCTCCTGTCCCCCTAGAGCTCTCAGATGTCATTTTTGTGGCACCATTAGAAGGTGGGCTAGAGCAGCCACAGGGGAAGGAGCACACTAATGGGGACTTGGGCTTGTCACTGTACCCAAGCACTCTGCATAGACATGCAAATAACGTTGAGCCGTCTGGTGGTGCGTATGCGTCTCAGGTGGGGGCAGGAGAATTGGGAGGTCAAGGCGTTCCTTGCCAAAGAGGTTCTAGGCCAGCCTGGGCTACAGAAGACCCTGTCTCGAACAAACATTGAGTAAATGTCTTAGTACATGCTTCTTACATAGCCTTCTCTGTCCCTCAGACATTCTAGTCTCAGTGCTGACAGGACTAACTTATTCCTACAGAAATAATAGTATTAATGTATAGACCAATGCTATGTTTGTAATAGAGAAAAAAGAAAAATATTAAATATTCTTTAATAAGAAGTATGTTAAGTCATGGTATGGGCTTAGAATGGAATATTATATGGTAAATTAAAGTGATAACAATAGATTTGATTGACATGAAAGTATATTTTTGTGAAATATTTCAAAGGAATATATATATTTTCTTAATTTTGTAAAACTTAAAAATAAAATTGGTTGTTTATACAGTTGTATGTGGAATAACCTGAAGACAGCAGCACATTGCACAGTTCACAGTGTAAAGCCCAGCACCTTAGAGCACTCTGAAGGCCTCGGAGCTCCCAAAACTAGCTGTGGGACTCGGCCCCGGACCACAGCTCCCACCTGTGCTCTACAGTATTTTGCATGAAGGTTAGCCCTGCTCCCCCGTACCCAGGCTGGGCTTCTGGCCTGGCTTTCTAGCTTTTTTTCTGGAGCCTTTTTGTGCACACAGAATGGCCTCACTTCTACAGCTCCACCTCTGAGGAAGCAGCAATGGTCTTGTCTGTTCCTGGGGTGGCCCTGGCTGCTATTCCGCAGGTCCAATGTCATGCAGAGCTGTCAGCGTGGCCAGCAAGCTAGGATTGGCTCAGCTTTGAAGTTGGGTGTAACTGAGAAGGCCGTGCATCAGTAGCAGAATGGGCTGATGGGCTCTGAAGAAGTGACACAGAGTGAGTAATGGCTGGAGCAGTGGTGCCCAGGAAGCTGTTGTGTTCTGTAAATGTTTGATTTTTTTTTATTAAAGATTTATTTATTATATATACAATATTCTGCCTGCATATATCCCTGTGGGCCAGAAGAGGACACCAGATCTCATTACAGATGGTTATAAGCCCCCATGTGGTTGCTGGGAATTGAACTCAGGACCTCTGGAAGAGCCGTCTTGCCAGCACCCAAATGTTTAATAACATTTCCTTGCCTTTCTCCAATACTGCCAGAGGAAACTACATAGATCTCACCTTCGCCACCACCCTCCGCCTGCCTTACCCACCCACCAGCTGCTCCTTTGTTGGTGGGTGGTGGAACAGGGGTTTGGGGGCCCATTTGGACAGACTGTTGTCTGTGATAGAGTGAACAGAAAGGAAGGGAGCTGTCCTAAGAGCTCCCTAAACCTAAGAGCTGGTTTAGTTCTCACTCCGTGCAGATTTCATGACAGTAATCAAGTATGGAGGAGGAAATGTCAAGTTCAGAGGAAGTAAAGAATAAGCTGATTGAGCCTCAGTGCCAGATCAGTGACCACCCTCAGGAAGCCAGAGTGACAGGTCTGGAGCCTTCTCAGACATCTTCCTCTCACTACACTTCTCAGCTGTTTGTCAACATAGCTTCCATGAACTTGCAGACTGTAGAAACAGGTTCCAGTCAGCCTGGGATACCTGGATGCCACACCACACCAGCAGCAGCAGAAGTTGAAGGCCTGAGGGGTGTGTGTGACCACTAATATAGGTAGACATGCATGCCACATTGTTTATTTCCTAAAATGCTTCCCAGCCTCTCTCCATTCAATTCTTCAAGTCCCTTTGCCTGCTTCAATCTAAACAGCTGTCTGTGACCTGGTGTGTGAGGTCCTTCTGTCTATATGTTGTTTTTATTGATTAATGAGTGAAAAGAAACTGGCTTGACCTGGTAGGGTAGAACAGAGCTAGATGAGGAAAACTCAAACGAATGCTGGGAGGAAGAAGGAGTCAGGGAGAAGCCATGGAGCTACCGTGGTGATGCACAGATTAGTGGAGATGGGTTAAATTAAGATGTAAGAGTTAGCAAATAAGAAGCTAGAGCTAATGGGCCAAGCAGTGATTCAAATAATATGGTTTCTGTGTGATTATTTCGGGAGTCTGGGCAGCCGGGACATGAACAAGCGGCCTCCTCACAACAGTGACCTGTGGCTGGTTTCCCTTTGTGTACACATACTTACATTACTGTTCAGAGCTCTTCTGTCTGCTTCCTGCACCCCACGAGCTGGGTATTCTGGAAGACTCTATACCTCGGCTGCTAGTTTCTCTGCAGTGATGTCAGCAAGTCTCTAACAGATACAGGACCTTCCCAAAGGCTCTTGCTATGACTGGGCAGCCTGCCTCTGATGTCATGTTAGCATCACTTAGTTGAAGCCATCAACCATTAACTCCCACTTTATTCCAGGGATCAAGATCTCCACCTAAGCCTAGGTGGATCTCCATACCCGAATTCTGCAGCCCACACCTCGCAGTCTTAGATTTTGACCCTGTGCTGAGCGATCACTGTCAGTGACCAGGGCCACACTGTAAACAAGCTTTATTTCTTATCAGTTAACGCGCACATGTGCACGCACACATAGTCAACTCTGCAAGAAGTCAACTCTGCAAGGAGTAGCTTCCGTGATCCTCTACCTACACTCAGGACTGGAAGAATTAGTACAGTGGGGGGGGGGGGGGGTTGGAGGGGAGAGGAGGGCAGTGAGGAAAATGGCCAGAGAAAGAAAGGTAGCATTCCCACCTGGGAAGGAGCTAAGCTGCTCACACAACATCTAGAGTGCCCTTAACAAGGCTATCAATCAACCAGAACCATTCTCTGGACAATGAAGTGGTTTTTCTAACAATAGCATCTGCCTGGGGGTGTGTTCTGTCTGGGCCCAGCATCTGAAATGAAGTGGGAGAGGATCAAAGGAAGAAATGGTCCAGGGAACCTTTGAAGAGACCAGCTCAGAAACCACTTGGCAATCCACCAACTTTGAAGACTAACCCTATCCCTACAGGTGCTTTTTTGCTCTTGTTGCAGGAATCTCTAGAGCAAGCACTCCCAACAGCAATAAGAGCAGAAGCGGGGCCGTGTCACGTGTGGGCCAAAGTCAAGACGCCTCCTGAAAGGCCTTGCTATCAGGTCTAGTTGCCATTCTCATTCTATACTCTAAACCACGAGGCACGGCAAGCTAGCAAGCAATATTGCACAGAAGTGCCGGGTGGCGGTGGCGCACACCTTTAATCCCAGCACTCAGGAGGTGGAGGCAAGCAGATCTCTGTGAGTTCAAAGACAGCCTGGTCTACAGAGTGAGTTCCAGGACAGGCTCCAAAGCTACACAGAGAGAAACCCTGGGGGGAGGGGGGGTGGATTCACAGAAGCATGTGGTAGTCTGCTGGTGGTCAAGGGCAACAACCCATTGTTTCAGCTGCCTCTCCCGGTTATTGTGTTTCAGGTAGCAAGTGAAGTCACGCTTGGCAAACAGGCAGTACAAGCAGTGCTTTAAGTAAATGCCTAAATAAATCAATGAACCTAAGAATCTTTTTTTTAAAAAAATCTTGTTCTACTTTATTACTTGCTTTCTGCTTCAGTGAACTCTGTTTCCAGCTTTCTGAGTTTTTACATCTTCCCCTCTGATGGTCAGTTCTTTGTTCATCCTTAGGAAGAACATGGACTCCTAGCTGGCCACCCTTAGCTCTGACACACATCAACAGGACTACTGCCTAGAGATGGTTCACAATGAAGATAAGCAATTACTTACAGATATACCCACAGGCAATCCTTCAGTTGAGATTTCTTCCTTTGTTGGGAACTCTACAAAGCTAGCCATGTAAAGGGCTCTCCTTATTTGTAGAAGGCCAGCCCCTTAATTAGGTTTCTCTACAAAATTGAAGCCGAGTTCATGCCCACCCACAGGACTTGCCATCGCTCTGCTTCCTTTTTTGGTGGGGGAGAGCAGTTGAGACAAGGTTTCTCTGTGTAGTTTGGCTGTCCTGAAACTAGCTCTGTAGACCAGGCTGGCCTTGAACTCACAAAGATCCACCTGCCTCTGCCACCTGAATGCTGGGATTAAAGGCCACCACCTGGCCCCAAAATCAACTTTTAGATGACATACTTATTTTTTTAAAGATTTGTTTGTTTATTATGTAAACAATGTTCTGCCTGCATGCCAGAAGAGGGCACCGGATCTCAATACAGATAGTTGTGAGCTATCATGTAGTTGCTGGGAATTGAACTCAGGACCTTTGGAGGAGCAAATAGGGTTCTCAACTGCTGAGCCATCTCTCCAGCCCTAGATAACATACTTACTAGCCATCAACTTGACTGCATTTGGAATCAATTAAAACCCAAGCTGCTAGGCACTTCCGAGAGAAATTTTCTTAATTCTATTATTTGAAATCTAGGCCACACCTTCTGGTGGCAGCCATATAAAAGGATATAGAGGAGGATACTTTTCTTTTTGCCTGCTGCATTCACTCTTGATGGCAAGTTCATTCTCTCTGTCTGTCTGTCTATCCATCCATCCATCCTGTTGCTACAGCCAATATCAAATCCAGCATCTTCAGGAATCCAACATAGACTGAAGACCAGGAACCTTCCAGTACTCCAGCACCAGATTGGGACTGCAGACATTCAGTATCCTGGGCAGAACAACTACCCATTCTCACCCTTTCAGTTGTGAGACATCCACTGTTGAACTGCCTGGACCACACCTCGTAAACCGTGTGTGTGTGTGTGTGTATGTGTGTGTGTGTGTGTAAGATATTTTATATATTGTCAGTTCTGTTTCTTTAGAGAACCCTGACTAATAAAACATTGGTGGATCCTTAGGTTCCTTAGAAGAAATGCCTTCCTGGCCAGCTGGAGCAATCAGCTCCACAGTCCACCTTCTTGGAGCATTCCTCAACTCCTCTACTTCCCACCCCACCCCCTCTCCCCAGAGTACTTGCTGGCACACATTGTAAGTATTGTGGAGAGTGGGGACAGAGGCTTCCAAAAGGCAAGGATCAGGACAGAGTGTCACCATGCACAGCCTCACTGTAGGCCCCACCCAAGGCAAGCCAATCTTCAGTGCAGGGTGAAAGAGCTTTGTTATGCTGAGCTGGCTGCTGGGTCTCCTACCTCTCTACAAACCAACTGCTGGAGACTGAGTTAGGGGAGTATCCTCTGGAGACAGCAGTGGGGAAAGTGCAGGCCATTCCTCACTCAATGCCTAACATTAATGTGCTTTTCAGTTCTGCAAATCTCAGGAACAAAGATCATTTCCTCAAACTATTCTTGTCTCTAGTTTGCCTCTGTGTGACTCCTGGTATAATAGTCTGCCCCAAAGGCCCTCGAACTCAAGAAGACAGTGACCAGGAAAAGTTAAGTAGCCATCTTCTGAGAATGACCACACTCTAATCAAAGCAACAAAAGACAAAGTTTGACATGGTGGCACCTGGGCTACATGGAGCCTTGTCCCAAAGATGTTCAGTTGGAACCTCCAACTCACTGCTGTATGA